CGTGAGAGAGTGTTCAGAACCACTGCAGTAGGTAGCATTGGCTGACCGGCTTTCAGATTTCCTCTCCTCCTGATAACCTTTTCAACAATTTCATAGAGTTGATCGTGACAGTTATCCCATGTTTTGTAGCTGGGAAAGTGTCAGGGCATGAAGGACAAATAGTTATACAGATTCAGAGTCAGAAATAGAATCTGGGTTCTGAGCCATAACTGCAGGCGGGGCCGGGCCTGACCTTCACCTCTCCTGGGGCCCACTGCCCCGGCTTACCTGGGGCCAGTTCATCCCACCCCACGAGATGCAGGCCAGGATCCACACGGTGAGCCTCCTGATGTCTTCACTCGCAAAGCAAAGCGAGCTATCGGCAGTCTCAAAATCACAGAGCTCTTTGACACTGCCCCAGACTGATTTGGACCTGACAGGCAGTGCTGTTTTATAATTGGTGGGCTTGAAAGCTAAGACCTTTCTATCCCCTGAGCCTCATGCTATGGGCTCTGCCTGAATGTCCCAGCCCTCAGTGGGCCCTATTCTATTTCCTTCAGAAAAATCCTGTAAGCCTTTCTGGGGACATGTTTCAGGAAATGTGATCTGAAATGAATATTTTATGTCATTATCATCAGAGTCAAAGCTAGTTTAAAAAGCATGAAGGAAATGTGTAGATGTTGTCTTGCCGTATTTTTGGTTTGGAGAAAACAGAACAGTAAATTGAAAAGTTAGGCAGACCATGCCCAGAACCGAATTGCCGAAAGAATTAATCATTAACTGATAGCATGAAATGGACTCCTATTCAGACAACCATGTCAGACTCAAGATGGATTTTTGTCCTTATCTGGGTAATAATCTCTTCCGGATAGAGATGTGAACTTCTGTTATGTCAATAACCAGAATTATTACTCGTCTCAATTAAGAGACGACCTTCCCTTTCTCTCTGTGGAAAAGTCTACAATGTGGGTGGTTATGTCTGTAGTCTTAATTAATTGAGAAAGAAATCAAATGCAGATGTATAACTTTCAGTAACACAGGCGTCTCTCAGCATTTCAGTGAGGACATAGTATGTTTTTCTCACCATTTAGCACACTGTCCTAGAAATTACTTTTGAGAAAGACAATAGTCTTATAGTTCTTGTGGACTAACTAGGGACTTTGCCAGTAAGTTAGTTCTTCATGAAAGGAGTGGCCTCACCAGCCACTGAATGGGACCAACAGTTCTTGGTAACAGGTACTCCTGGGAAACTCCTTCAACCGATATTGTTCTCAGCTGCCATGTTTCAGGGGCTGGAGAACATTTTCTGGGCCTCTGGATTACATTTAGGAATATAACAGAGGAGGGACTGCTGATTGAATATCCTTCAGGCTTTCTGTGTGAAAACCTACTCCTACAAACCATGGGAACTTCACCTCTGGGCCCTTCTCCTTCGCACCATGTTGCTTGAAGAGTTTTTGTGCCATGGCCAGGGCATGACTGTATGGCCAGGAAGACCAATCTGTGCCCACATGACCGCATATCCTGGCCGGTGCCTCACTGGTGGTGATTCCTTCTCTTTCGGGAAGAGATGCTGATATTTGCCCCTGTTGTCTAAGGAATATACATGTCAAGACAGCGCTTTCCACTGCCTTCTCACCTTTTCTGTTTTCATGTGAGCTGCTTTAGAAGGTGATAAGAACTCCAAATACTATTAGCCTTTCCCTTCTGGAGATAGAGATCTTCTTTGACTTAGATGGGGTTACATCTAGACAAACCCAACATAAACTGAAGATACCGTAAGTCCAAAACGCATTCACTATACCTAACTTTGCAAACATCCTAGCTCAGCCCAGCCAACTTTCTTTTTTTTTTCTTTTATAGTTTATTGTCAAGTTGGTTTCCACATAACACCCAGTGCTCATCCCAACAAGTGCCCTCCTCCATGCCCATCACCCCCCCTTCCCCTCCCCCTACCCCCATCAGCCCTCAGTTTGTTTTCAGCATTCAGGAGTCTCTCATGGTTTGCCTCCCTCCCTCTCCCCAACTATTTTTTCCCCTTCTCCTCCCCCATGGTCCTCTGTTAAGTTTTTCCTGTTCCACTTATAAGTGAAAACATATATCTGTTCTTCTCTGCTTGACTTATTTCACTCAGCATAACACCCTTGAGTTCCATCCACATTGTTACAAATGGCCAGATTTCATTCTTTCTCATTGCCATGTAGTATTCCATTGTGTAGATAAACCACATCTTCTTGATCCATTCATCAGTTGATCCAGCCAACTTTCTTTTTTTTTTTCCAAATAGTTTATTGTCAAATTAGTTTCCACATAACACTCAGTGCTCATCCCCACAAGTGCCCTTCTCCATGCCCATCCCTCCTCCCCCCCACATCCATCAGTCCTCAGTTTTTGTCAGCATTCAAGAGTCTCTCATGGTTTGCTTATTCCCTTTCCCCCACCATTTCCGCCCTTCTTCTCCCCCTTGGTCCTCCGTCAAGTTCCTCCTAATCCTCCTATATGTGCAAACATATGATATTTGTCCTTCTCTGCCTGACTTATTTCGCTCAGCATAACACCCTCAAGGTCCATCCATGTTGCTACACATGGCCAGATTTCATTGTTTCTCATTGCCATGTAGTATTCCATGGTATAGATAAACCACATCTTCTTGATCCATTCATCCGTTGATGGACACTTAGGCTCTTTCCATGTTTTAGCTATTGTTGAGAGTGATCCAGCCAACTTTCAACATGCTCAGAACACTTCTGTTAGCTTGCAGTTGAGCAAGAGCATGTGACACCACGCCTGTTTTATAATAAAGTATTGACCATCTCATGGTTGAATACCATGCCAACAGAAGGGCCGTGTACATGGGTGTAGAATGTTGGTTCGTGTATTGGTTGTGTTCCCTCGTGGTCCTGTGGCTGGCCAGGAGCTGCGGGCCCTGCCCAGCATCACAAGAGAGGACTGTACCACATAGCATGAACCTAGGAAAAACTACAGATCCCAGATTCCAAGTATGGTTCCTACTGAATGTGAACGGCTTTCACACCGATGTGAAGTAAAAAAATTAGAAGTCGAACCATCATAAGTCAGGAACATCTGTAGATGTTTCTTTGGTTTCCCATCTTGGTTATCTTTGTATGGCCCTGAAAGTTTTGTTTTTATGTGCCTGTCTTTGAGCTGCAGAAAACATTGATACTTACTGCTAGGTGGAGAGGAGTGGGGAACGGGCTGTTCTCCAGGAGGGAGGTAGAGGAAGCAGAAGAGGAGACTGGAGGACCTCACCTGCAGCCTGACAGTTTCTGGGTTGAGCTGTGACCTGTGGAGACAGTCGCCTCTTTTCCTGGTGGGCTGTGTCTGGTTCATAGAGTATCATTTCTCCTAAGAAAGGACATCTGATTTGACCCAAGGAGCCTGCCTCAAAAACCATGTGGACTTACCCTCCCCCATGTTAGTCTTCCAAGATTTAGTTCCCATGCACTTTAAAGATGAATGTTGCTATCAACCAGCAAGAGAACCCACAAAAGAGCCTTCAGGTAAAATGTGTGGGGGTTATTCTTGCTGTTGTTGCTTTGTCTCCTCCGTAATTAGCAGGCTTTTCAGAGAAACCGAGGACGATTGGAAATGTGTAAGAACAGTCCTTATAGACCATGGTAATTAAAACTGTAAATAGAATGAAAATTAAACATTCTAATAAAGCTTCACATTCGTTTTCAGAGTGCACTGGCCCCTTTGCAAGCTATTATCTCAGAGCTGTCGGGGTCCTTTCTTCACATTCCAACTGGTTACTTACCACCTTTATTGGCTCTTAAGAATGATCATTAAAGATAGGGACCCTTCATTAGACTTAACTAAATAAATTGACCTTTTAGATTAGATTCATTCTCTGGATTTGCACAAAGGAATAATTACCTCTGGTAAATTACCTTCCCTGCATGTAGACCTATAAAAAGGTAGGATCAAATAGACCTCCACAGCGTTGCATAGCGGGGTCAGGAAGCTTGCATGGATTTCATGAGCAGCTTTGGGGTTCTATCCAGGAGTGTTTCTGAGACTTTTATTATGAAAGGACTTAAATCACGTGGTCACAAGATAAGGTATTTGCACCAGCAGTAGTTGCTCATTTTAAGTGGAATCTGAACAAAAAGAACTCTACAAATGTTTTATGTAATTATATTTTTTGCCTGTCAAATCGATTTTTAAAAATCACGGCCTACAACAGACACAGGAAAAGATGCTCAACGTCACTCATCATCAGGGAAATACAAATCAAAACCACACTGAGATACCGCCTCACACTGGTCAGAGTGGCTAAAATGAACCACTCAAGAAACTACAAATGCTGGAGAGGATGTGGAGAAACGGGCACCCTCTTGCACTGTTGGTGGGAAGGTAAACTGGTGCACCTGCTCTGGAAAACAGTGTGGAGGTTCCTCAAATAATTAAAAATAGAACTACCCTCCTACCCAGCAAAAGTACTACGAGGTATTTATCCAAAGGATACAGAAGTGCTGATGCATAGGGGCACATGTACCCCAATGTTTATAACAGCACTTTCACCAATAGCCAAATCATGGAAAGAGCCCAGATGTCCATCAACTGATGAATGAATCAAGAAGATGTGGTTTATCTACGCAATGGAATACTACACGGCAATGAGAAAGAATGAAATCTTGCCATTTGCAACAATATGGATAATGGAACTCGAGGGTATTATGCTAAGTGAAGTAAGTCTTTCAGAGAAAGATAGATACCATATATTTTCACTCATATGCAGAATTTGAGAAACTAAATGGAAGACCATGGGAGAGGTGAAGGGGAAAAATAGATACAGAGAGGGAGGCAAACCACAAGAGACTCTTTTTTTTTTTTTTTTAAATATTTTTATTTATTTCTAGGAGAGAGAGAGAGAGAGAGACAGCGTGAGCAGGGGAGGGTCAGAGAGAGAGGGAGACACAGACTCTGAAATAGGCTCCAGGCTCTGAGCTGGCAGTCAGCACAGAGCCCGACGCGGGGCCCGAACCCACGAACCGCGAGATCGTGACCCAAGCGAAAGTCGGACGCTTAACCGACTAAGCCACCCAGGCGCCCCAAGAGACTCTTAAATACACAGAACAATTAGCAATAATCGCGCCTTGGATAAACCTCATTGGCTACGATACTGCCACTGCGCAAAGCTTTAAATACACAGAACAAACTGAGGCTTGATGGGCAGTCAGGTGAGACAGGAAAATGGGTGATGGGCATGGTGGAGGGCACTTGTTGGGATGAGCACTGGGTGTTGTATGTAAGCAATAAACGGTGGGACTCTACCCCAAAAACCAAGATCACGCTGTACGTACACACTGTATGTTAGCCAATTTGACAATAAATTATATTTTAAAAAATCATGGCCTATTTTCCTACACCTGTCCCAACGGGTTAGATATATAATTAGTCTCAGTATTGTGAGTAAAAAATCCCAAACCATGTGTAAAGTAGTTTTGCTTGCTTAAAATGGGGCCTGGGATGTATTTTACTGAAGGATAACTGGATACAACCTAAATGTCCATCCACAGGGAGCTAATTACGTAAAGTGTGGTTTATGTGCTACAGTGAAATACTATGCAGTCATGGAAAGAAATGATCTGTACTGATTCACAATGACCTCTAAGTTATATTTTTTAAGTGGGGAAGAAAATTACAGGTACCAAACTGTGTATATTCTGATTTGTATTGAAGGCACAAAACACAACGTGTGTATCTGTGTGTTTATATATCTGTTGAAGATCATGGACAAGATACACACACAAAAAAAAGAATGTGTGTGTTCCCTCTGGGGGAGAGAGCTGGATGGCTGGGAATAGGAAGAGAGGGATGGTTTTCCCTTCATACCCTTTGTACCACTTGAATTTCTTTTAAGTTTATTTATTTATTTTGAGAGAGAGAGAGAGAGAGCAAGTGAGGGAGTGGCAAAGAGGAAGAGGGAGAGAGAGAATCCCAAGCAGGCTCTGCACAGACAGTGCAGAGCCTAATGTGAGGCTTGAACCCTTGAACTGTGAGTTCCTGACCTGAGCCAAGTTGGATGCTTAACCGACCGAGCCACCAGGTGCCCCATGAGCCACCCAGGCTCCCTGACTTGGATTTTGAACCAAGGAACTTTATTTCTTATTCAGAAAGTAAATAGATAAAGTTAATATTGAAATAAATAAATGGTGGACTCTGTGTAACAGTCTTAGCTGTAGACACCAAAGTTGGGTTATCTAGGGTAACTCTGTCCCATAGAACTTTCTGTGATGCTGGAAATGTTCAGTATGGTCACCATCCAGCTCAATAGCCACCAGCCACATAGGACTTCTGAGCACTTGAAAGGTGGCTTGTGCTGAGCGAGAAATTACTCTGGCTAAGGTCAAAGAGGTTATTGCCTGTTTTCCTCTCCAGGGTTTTGATGGTTTCCTGTCTCACATTTAGGTCTTTCATCCATTTTGAGTTTATTTTTGTGTTTGGTGTAAGAAAGTGGTCCAGGTTCATTCTTCTGCCTGTTGCTGTCCACTTCTCCCAACACCATTTGCTAACGAGATGGTCTTTTTTCCACTGGATATTCTTTCCTGCTTTGTCAAAGACTAGTTTAGTCAACCTGACAATAAATTATATTTTTTAAAAAAGTGGCTTGTTCATCTGAGAAACTAACATTTTAATTTCTTTTAACTTCTGTTAATTTATATGTAAGTAGCTATGCACGGCTAGTGGCTATCCCATCGACTGGGGAAAAATCTAAAGTATATGGTTTCAAGTTGCTCTTCTGTTTAGAGTTAACTAAAGTTTAGATGTGTGTTAGGAGAACTAATTATTTACTTTAGGTTCTCAGAGTAAAATGAATTCTTCTAAGTCTAAGAAAATGCCTACGTTTTTGCCCTTGAACTTAATGCCGTCACATATTTGTTGAAAAAAACTGACAGTCAGACTTGTAAATCTTTATTACCCAAGAAAATCATTTTTGTATGGAAATGGTGTCTTTTTGTGGCCTTGCATGGAAGCTGTTTATATTTTAGGGATTCATTTTGTCATCTAGAACACAGACCCTATTTATGTGTCTCCCCACAGAGTAACGTGCCGGGCATTTTGTTCTTGAGTCCCACAGCTGTTGTGAGACAGGGGACAGTTTGGATTCTTAGCCAGCAGCTGCCAGGAGCACTTCTAAAATGGGTTTGGCAGGAAATCGTGCACAAGTGGAAGCCAAGTTAAAAGCAGCTTGAAAAATAAACAGAATGACTTTGGATGTCACTTCATATATAGTCCATCTTTCCGCTAAAGATTGTCTTCATAATTTGTTAACATGACTAGGCTGTGAGCCCTCCCAGGGCAGGGCTGTATCTAATGGTCTTTGAAGTCCAGGGTCTAGCCCAGGGCCTGGAATATGCCAGTAGGAAGTCATTGTTACTACCACCATTATCATTTTTAATGATTGACTCTACTGCAAATTTGTTTAATTAATTTAGTTACTAGCTTAATATTGTTGTGGATTCAGGAAAAACTAGATGTAGGTAATTAGTGGTTATGGGTCCCCTCCTCTCTTCTCCTTTCTGCGACACAATACCGCCCACCCTCTGCTCTAAAGTAAGACATTATGAACATTCCTGAAACATTATTTATTCATCCATTCTTCAAGCAAGCTTATTTTTGTTGTGCAGGGAATAAGCACACTCTGATGTAGTCTGTATTTCTTACAAAGTAAGAGGTTTTCAGAAGGTGAAGGCGTAGGTGTGAATGTGATACCTTTTTCTTTTAAGTCTATTTTGAGAGAAGAAAGAGAGCATGAGTGGGGGGAGGGGCAGAGAGAGAGAGAGAGAGAGAGAGAAAATCCCAAGCAGACTCCATGCTGTCCGTGCAGAGCTAGACGCAGGGCTCAATCACACAAAATGTGAGATCAAGACCTGAACTGAGATGAAGAGTCAGACGCTCATCTGGCTGACCCACTCAGGTGCCCCTGAACGTGGTACCTGGTTGTTTTTTGTTTTTTTTTTTTTAATGTTTATTCTTGAGAGAGAGAGAGACAGAGTCCAAGCAGGTAAGAGGTAGAGAGAGAGGGAGACAGAGAATCTGAAGGCAGGCTTCAGGCTCTGAGCTGTCAGCACGGAGCCCAACATGGGGCTTGAGCTCACTAACTGTGAGTAAGATCATGACCTGAGCTGAAGTTGGATGCTTAACTGACTAAGCCACCCAGACTCCCCTGAACAGGGTACCTTTTTAAACAGAAGGCACAAATTCCTCAGGCTGGCATATTAAATAAATGATTTTTTTGTCCCGAAAGGGGAAACTAATAAAATTGTTAGTTTTTCCAAGTTGTTCTTCCCACCAGATTCTCCCCGGAGGAGCTCCAGCCTCTTAGACTCCCCAGAGTGCGTAGGATGTCAGTTTCCTCCGCATGGAGTGGGGCTGACTGCCAATGGGGCTGTGCCCAGCAGTGTCTGGTTCTCGTTGCAGACCTTCACCGCCTGGTGTAATTCCCACCTGAGGAAAGCTGGCACCCAGATTGAGAACATCGAGGAGGACTTCAGGAATGGCCTTAAACTCATGCTGCTTTTGGAAGTCATCTCAGGTTGGTCCTGGACATTGCATACCCATCCTACCCAAATCCTGTGCATCCGCGTGTGAGTGACAGATATGTGTCTGGTTAGAGATGACTGTACCAGAAGTTTCCCTTGAACCTACCTAGGCAAGAACATGGTATTATCGGCAAAGAGAACCTTTCCAGAGAGCGGTCTGCCTGGACTTCTTTTTCTGCTCTGATAAAGGAGTAACTTCTGTTTAAAACTGACTTATTAAAATCGTGTTTGTACCACCCATCTCGAAACAAAATAAGAGAAGAAAAAAATGACAGTTATGTGATTACCCACCATGCTGCCCTCTCTACTCTTAGCCCAGCTAGTGCACCTCCCAGACGTCATCTTTCATGCAGCAAGCCGGTATAAGTGTTGGCAGAACTCGGAAAACATGAGCTCAGATCCCAGAGGGGTTATGTTTTGCCTTGAATTTCAGTTGGCTGGGTTAGACTTTGGATGAGAGAAGGGATCGCTCAGGAGGAAGTATGACTGGGAGGGTGATGGCAAGTCTGCCCTGATCCATATATCTTCATAATCAGGTGTCTCAGATGAGCCCTGGCGGCCACCGCTGTCATTTGGACGAGGCCATCCTGACTTCCTCTAACAGCTAGTCAGCAACTCCAGAGGCTCCTGGGATCCCAACCAGCTTTTCTCTGTTCTCCTTTGTAAGTTGGCTCGTATGTAGGCCAAACTGGAGTCTCCCAGCGGATCTGAAAAGCATATGGCTCCACATCGGTCCATTGGTCTTGAAAGCTTTTTTGGTCCGTGTTCCTCTGTACGGTGATTTACAGAAGCCAGAGACCCATCAGAAATAGTCAGACACCTGTTTCCACTTAAGGAAGCATGGACTCTGAGTTTTGGCATCTTGGTTCCACGTCAAGGAGCTAGTTTCTCTGTGCCTATGCTATTCTTTTTTTCATCCGACAGGGGAAAGGCTGCCCAAACCTGACCGCGGAAAAATGCGATTCCACAAAATTGCTAATGTCAACAAAGCCTTGGATTACATAGCCAGCAAAGGCGTGAAACTGGTGTCCATCGGGGCTGAAGGTAAATGGAGTGTGAGAAGAATACCCCTGGCTGCCACACTGACCTCACAGTGTGGGGGCGGATGTGCCTGCCACTGGACAACTTCTTTCCTTCGCTGCTAGTGGTGCCTGCTTCATGTCAGGCTCTCTGGTAGGCTCTTGTGTCTAGAGATGAGAGTAAAAGGTAGCATGAATGGGAGACCAGGCTCTGAGATTGTTTGTAAAGCCTAGAGTCAAATATAAGGCCGTCTTCTTCAGCCTGATTATCAGGATGAGAGAGAGCTTAACCTTCCCAGTCACTCTTAAAAACTAGTTAATAGGGATATTGGGGCCCTGGAGTGTTTGCCAGGAGCTGAGACTCCCGTTCCTTAGTTTCCGCAACTGAATCCTGTGAACCTGCCACCTGGGGGACCGCTGGAAAGATCAGGGTCTAAAGATCACAGGTCTAAAGAGCCTGTGTTCTTTGGATTTGATGACTTAGAGCCTTCGCCCATCTAGTCTTTATGCTTCAGAAACTCTCGGGTTGTTTTCAGTGATAATGCATTTGCAAGATTTGTGCTTCTTATTAACTC